TGCACTCTACTGTACTGTACAAAAATAAGTATGACCACAAATTATCAACTAATCCCAGGGTAACTTTGGTTGGTTCTCAGCTCCTAGTGTGAACCACCAACGACCATTACGTTCAGTAAGACAGGTTGGTGGAGGAGAAAACCTTTCTGGAGGAATACACTCGAGCTCCAAGCCGATGAAGAGAGCAAAATGGAAGCCGGGTTCGGGTTCATCAGTTATCAACAAGAGTTCACTGATGTACTGCCACAAGACTACATTGACCTCCCACAAAACGAGACGCGTATGGTCAAGGTGAATCTATTGAAGGGGAAGAAGTAGATGGCAAAAGTGAGGCTCACCGTTGGTGACTTATTGCGAGGACATGAGGTGTGCTTCCCTGGCCATCACATCCACTGCTCACTAACCTATCACGTGACTCAGAGCGAGACAGTTACTGAGAATGTCTCAGTTACTGAGAGCGTTTCAATTACTGAGAGCGTTTCAATTACTGAGAGCGCACCAGTTACTGAGAGCGTGACAGTTACTGAGAGCGTCTCAGTTACTGAGAGCGTTTCAATTACTGAGAGCGCACCAGTTACTGACAGCGTGACAGTTACTGAGAGCGTCTCAGTTACTGAGAGCATCTCAGTTGCTGAGAGCGTCTCAGTTACTGAGAGCGTCTCAGTTGCTGAGAGCGTCTCAGTTACTGAGAGCGTCTCAGTTGCTGAGAGCGTCTCAGTTACTGAGAGCGTCTCAGTTGCTGAGAGCGTCTCAGTTACTGAGAGCGTCTCAGTTGCTGAGAACGTCTCAGTTACTGAGAGCGTCCCAGTTGCTGAGAGCGTCTCAGTTACTGAGAGCGCGTCAGTGATTGAGAAGAAGACGCAGGGGAGCGTCTCTGGAGAAGATAACATCACGTCACCCGGGTGGCCGTTCAGTCACGGGATAGGTTGGCTTGCAGTAAGATTTGGTATCTTTGTGTCCATGTTGCTATATGGTTGCATGTACTATTGCCTGGGGCCACTTATGCCGGAGGTTACGGGGGACCTATATGCATTTATTGCAAATGGCATTGCAGTTTTGATTGTACTTCACGTGGCCCTCTGTGTGGTAGTAATGCGGGGCCAAGTCTCGAAACATGGCCAAAATTTCATAAAAAATTTGAAAAACGAGACAATATGTTGTGTGTGCGGGAAACAGGTCACCCCTCGAATTAAACATTGTTCGTTCTGCAATAAATGTTTTCCTGGGACCCATGAGTGCATTTACCAACAGACTAGAATTGTTTTTTGGGGCTTAGGCGTCTTCTTTGGCTACCTGGCAATGAACGAAATGATAATAAAATAATGCTGGTGGTATAATGAAGATAATGCTAGATACAATGATGACGTGGAAGAATGGATAAACGTATTGATGTTGTTTAGTGTGTTTTTAGTGGCCGCCATCTTGCATACTCTCCGTGCAGCGGCAGAAATCATTTGGTACGTAAAACATTGTAAATATTGAAAAAAATGTATAAAATTAATAAATATGTCGTTTCTTTTTTCTTTGTTTAATAGTCACTACACTTATATACACTACATCCATTACACTATCATATACACTTAAACTCAAGACACTTAACTGCTGTCATACATTATAATTTGAAGATAACTTAACTATCATTAGGTGTTTCTTGTTGTTGCAGGATCTGAGATAATCTTGAGAGAGAGAGAGAGAGAGAGAGAGAGAGAGAGAGAGAGAGAGAGAGAGAGAGAGAACAACAGCTGGACCATATGGGAGAAAGTTGTGTGAGAATTGGGTTATTATCGATAGAATTTAGACACTGTTGACGATGTTATGTTGGAGCCATGGACAAGAGAAGTAGCGCAGGAACCTCGGCCCTCCCCTCTCTCTCCCTCTCTTCCCTCTCTCTCCTCTCTCTCTCTCCACCTCTTTCTCTGTGACCTCTATTTGACCTGACCGTACGCCATTGGGAGCCGAGACCCCTCCTACCTCCACCCAACCCGACCCAACCCGACCCAACCCCACCCCACCCCACCCCACAGTAAGACGGGGGCGTGGTCTCCCTGCCCCGCCCCGCCTCTCACTCCCACAGTTCAGTTCTTCCTTCTACTCATCTCTCAGTATTATTTCTTATTTATTTTTTGTTAATTGTTTCATAATCATCCACGTGACCCCCTTGTCTTCCTTATACTTCAGGGGTCACCTTAAGAATAGCTCCCCACCTTCCTCACCCACCCACCCACACCCCTCTACCCCCACAACCCCACCTCCTCCCCAACCACCCCCTCACCCTCCAGGATGGGAAATTACGATCCAGATCAAAGCAATAAATATGCAGTTAATTAGGTGTTATGGAGTCCTCCCTTCCTCCCTTCCTCTCTTCCTCTCTCCTTCCTTCTTCCTCCCTTCCTTTCCTCTCTTCCTCCTCTCCTTCCTTCCTTCCTCCTTCCTCTTCCTCCCTTCCTTCCTCCCTTCTCTCTTCTCTCTCCCTTCCTTCCTTCCTCCCTTCTTCCTCCTTCCTCTCTTCTCTCCTTCTCTTCCTTCCCTTCCTTCCTTCCTTCCTCCCTTCCTCTTCCTTCCTCCCTTCCTCCCTTCCTCCCTTCCTTCCTTCCTTCCTTCCTTCCTTCCTCCTGACTTATGGTGGTACCTCATGGATGGTACTACTCCTGCCTCTCACTCACCCGGTAGTATAAACTATTTTTGGGACACCATCAACCAACAGTAACCTCTCTCTCTTTCTCTCTCTCTCTCTCTCTGTTCGATTTGCTCAAAACTCACATTCGCGCGTGTGTGTGTGTGTGTGTGTGTGAGAGAGAGAGAGAGAGAAAGAGTCCAGTTCTCTCTCTCTCTCTCTCTATGATCACGTTCGGTTCAAGGTTAACGTTCCGGTATTCTGGGAGGGTCACGTCCGAGTGCCACTTGAGGAAGTCCTGGAGGCAAGTTGACCCTCCAACGTGTGTCAGAGGGTGAGCTACATGGTGGAGTGTCCTCATGACCCAGGACAACCAGGACCCAGGACAACCAGGACCCAGGACAACCAGGACCCAGGGCAACCAGGACCCAGGGCAACCAGGACCCAGGACAACCAGGACCCAGGGCAACCAGGACCCAGGGCAACCAGGACCCAGGACAACCAGGACCCAGGGCCCAGGGCAACCAGGACCCAGGACAACCAGGACCCCAAGACCCAGGACAACCAAGACCAGGGGACAACCAGGACCCAGGGCAACCAGGACCAGGACAACCAGGACCCAGGACAACCAGGACCCCAGGACAGCAAGACCCAGGACAACCAGCTGTTAATTATGTTCGTATTTCGTATCAAAGCAGAGTCGTATTTCTAGTTGTTCCTGTCACCCAGAGTCGTATTTCTTGTCAACCTGAGTAGTATTTATGGTCATATTTGGGGTGGTTGCCCCCCCCCACCACCCTTGGCTCTTGTCCAAGTCATTATCAGTTTTGGGTTCATGTTTTCCGAAGTGTTGAAGTGATGGTGGGAGGTGCACTGTTTGTCAGGGAGGGGTGTTGTCAGGGAGGGATGCTGTCAGGAGGGATGTTGTCAGGGAGGGATGTTGTCAGGGAGGGTGTTGTCAGGGAGGGTCAGGAGGGTGTTGTCAGGGAGGGGTGTTGTCAGGGAGGGATGTTGTCAGAGGGTGTTGTCAGGAGGGATGTTGTCAGGAGGGGATGTCAGAGGGGTGTTGTCAGGGAGGGATGTTGTCAGGGAGGGGTGTTGTCATGGAGGGGTTTTGTCAGGGAGGGATGTTGTCAGGGAGGGATGTTGTCAGGGAGGATGTTTTCAGTGAGGATGTTGTCAGGGAGGGATGTTAAGTTAAGTTAAGTTAGGTTATGTTAGGTTATGCTATGCTATGTTAGGTTATTTTAGGTTAGGTTAGGCTAGGTTAGGCTAGGCTAGGCTAGGCTAGGCTAGGTTATACCAATGGAATAATTAACACGATCACCTTACATCTCTCTCTCTCTCTTTAAACAGCAAAGGGAATGGGGGGGGGGCTGGTTGAATCTGTCAAAGGCCGTGGATAAGGAAGATGTCGTTCATTAAGGCAGCCGGAGGTGTGAGCAAGAAGATATTTCGATGAACATATTGGATTTCATTCTAAAGGGTCGACAATACTGCTGTTACCTGACTCTCGTGTTGTGTGGGGGGGTCTGCTGCCTCTATTCTCCTCCCTCCTTCCTGCTGCCTCTATCCCCCCATCCTTCCCCGCTGCCTCTATCCTTCCTCCTTTCATTCCTTGTTGCCTGTACTCTATCTGCTGCTGCCTCTCTTCTTCCTCATTCCATCTGTGTTGCCTCTACTCTATCTGCTGCCTCTATTCTCCCTCCCTCCCTGTCTGTTGCCTCCACTCTCTCCATTTCCCTCCCTCTCTCCCTGCTTCCTCTATCCTCCCTCCCTCTCTCCCTGCTGCCTCTGTCTTCCCCTCTCTCCCAGCTGCCTCTATCTTCCCCTCTCTCCCAGCTTCCTCTTTCCTCCCTCCCTCTCTCCCAGCTGCCTCTATCTTCCCCTCTCTCCCAGCTGCCTCTTTTCTTAACGTTGCTGGTGACAAAAATGTGCCGCCAACTGGTGTCAATAACAGTTTTAATAACCAGATGGTGTCAACAAGGTTCCGACAGGTGGTGTTAATAAGGTGGTGCCAACAGGTGGTGTCAATACGGTGGTGTCAACAGGTGATACCAATAAGGTGGTGCCAACAGGTGGTGTCAATAAGGTGGTGTCAATAAGGTGCCAACAGGTGATACCAATAAGGTGGTGCCAACAGGTGGTGTCAATAAGGTGGTGCCAACAGGTGGTGTCAATAAGGTGCCAACAGGTGATACCAATAAGGTGGTGCCAACAGGTGATACCAATAAGGTGGTGCCAACAGGTGGTGTTAACAAGGTACCAACAGGTTAACAGTTCACCTCATGTTACCTTGTCTTATTTATTACTAATTTAACTTTTAATTTAACATAACATCGTCACACATGAACACCGAGTTAACATTATCGTCTCCTCGTTGCAGACTTCCAGAAGCTGGAGAGAGAGGCGAGAATTTGCAGAAAACTTCAGCACCCAAATATAGGTAAGTGTTGCTCGCAGGTGTTATGTTGTGCAGGTGTAGTCCGCTCCTACACCTGTTTCATATTGTAGTAGTATTTTTTTACCTCCACGTGTTAACACCCACAAACATCTGTTGATATGTTACAACCTGTACGATGTGTTACAGGCACATGTTTATATTCTAAGTTGTTGTGTGTTACATGTTACATCTGTTACGGTTACATGAACATCTGTTACGGTTACATGAACATCTGTTACGGTTACATGTACATCTGTTACGGTTACATGTACATCTGTTACGGTTACATGAACATCTGTTACGGTTACATGTACATCTGTTACGGTTACATGTACATCTGTTACGGTTACATGAACATCTGTTACGGTTACATGTTACATCCAAATTACTTACTAGATGTACTGTACTATTTATTATTTGTGGTACTCTATAGCTACACCTGCCAGTACTTCACCTCCACCTGTTTATGGTACCTACAACTGTTAATATCCACACCTGTTAACAGTATGCCTACACCTGTCAGTACCTCACCTGCACCTGTTAATTGTACCTAGACCTGTTAGTTATATCCACACCTGTTAATAGTATACCTACACCTGTTAGGACCACAACTGCATTAGATAGTACTGTACACTTAGTCTTGACATTCCACATTACACCTGCACTAATTATGAGCACTACAGGTGTTGACCAGGTGAACAGCGTCAGTCTTTTACCTCCCCAGAGAGAGAGAGAGAGAGAGAGAGAGACCTTATATTACGACAGACAGACAGACAGACAGACAGGTTCTCAACGACCTTAACTCCTTCACAATGGCAGTCGTCTACAGGTAACACTAGGAGGAGGAGACGGGCCATTGAGACAGGTTGTGTTGCTAATGACTCAGGTGATAGATGGGGGCCACCTTCACCTGTCTGCTGATTACTGCCGCCTCACCTGTCTTGTGTGACGTCTGCTAGCTGGCCTGATTGAGAGGTCTGGTTCGTGTGTGTGTGTGTGTGTATGTTGAGTACACACACAAACACACACACGCACACGGTAAACATCGTGTATAGTTCTTCACCTTAAATAAACGAAGACAAATTCTCCTCGAAAATAATAACACCAACAATGAGAGAGAGAGAGAGAGAGAGAGAGAGAGAGAGAGACACTAAAGGTTACATCATTAATAAAACACTGAGGAAAGGTTTAAGAGGCAACTAAAAATAGAACGGCAGAATTAACACACACTAAAATAAACTAGTAAATAATAAGAAGGTGGAATAACCAAGAGACAGACAGACAGACAGACAGATACAAACAAAGGGAGGAAGAAGCAGTGGGCGGTCTTGGAGGAGGAGAGTAAATCCAGGGAGGCGTGAGATAAGATAGAAGGTTTTGGAGGAGACAGGGAGGGAGAGTCTGAGATATAATTGGAGATAGTGGGAGAAGGCAGAGGGAGGGAGAGTGGCAGGGAGAGTGAGAGACAGGGAGAGTGAGATACAAGGAGGGGGGTGGGGGTGAAAGGCAGGGAGTGGGAGGGAGAGTGAGAGACAGGGAGAGTGAGAGGCAGAGAGGTAGGGAGAGTGAGGGAAGGTGAGGCAGGGAAAGTGAGAGGCAGATAACTGGAAGCAGCCACGGTTGACCTGCTCTAAAGACTTGGTGTCTGAGGAGGAGGAGGAGGAGGAGAGATAGAGAAGGAAAGAGGAAAGAGGAGGAGGGTGAGAAGAAATAGTGATGGAAGGGGGGAGGAAGAGGAGGAGAAGAGTGAGTGAAAAAACCAAGATGAAATAAATTTTGGTCGTGTAGGAATGAAAGGAGAGGAAATGAAAGAAAGGAGAAAGAAATATGGTTTTAATTTAGAGAGAGAGGAAGATATGGGAGGAGGGAGGTACATAATAAATGGTGGGGAGGGGAAGGAGGAGGAGAGGGATTAGAGGAGAGAGAGAAATATCACGACACTGACCATGCATGTAAACAGAAGCAGGAGAGAGAGAGAGATGATGATGATGACGATGACAAACTTTTCATTTCATCCTTAAAAGATGTGTGTGATATTACCAGTTAATACCATCAATCCTATTAGACCTCTGATCTTGACCTACACACACACACACACACACACACACACACACACACACACACACACACACACACACATACAGTATAGACAACCCTTCAGTGTGGGGAACGTGTCGACAGCACCTCACCTTGGCTGGTCTCATCAAGGTTTTTAGTGTCAGGTGAAGTGCAGGGGTGAGGGAAAAAAGGGGGAGTGACATGGTAGAGACTCTCTCTCTCTCTCTCTCTCTCTCTCTCTCTCTCTCTCTCTCTCTCTCTCTCTCTCTCCACCTTTGTTTACAGGGTCAGTGTGTGTGGTGGCTGCAGTGTTGATCTCAATCCATCATTCTTTCAGTCGCAATCAACAGCACTCAATTCTTCACCTCTATTCCCTTTGTTCCTCTAAAGTTGTATTGTATCATCATTCTCCTCCTTCATTCCTCCACGTCTCCTTCATTCCTCTACGTCTCCTTCACTTATATTGCACAACTCTATTATGTCATAGTGTGTTAGTCTTTGAGGGATGGGAGGGGTGAGAGAGCGTTAAGGGGGGAATGGTTCAGACAGGAGGGGGATGAGGGAAGGGGAGAGATGGGAGAGGAGAGAAGTTGGGGGAGGGAATTTGATTTTTTTTTAATTTGCCGCGGACAGTAGCTAGTTTATTGTGCACCCCATACTCATCCTGTGAGCGGTAGCGCAAAAAAGATTACAGAGTGTAGGCCACAGGGGTGTTTATCAGACCCCAGTGATTTGGTATTATGACAATGAATGTTACAGAGTATTTCCAGTACAGTGTTTGTTTATGTCGGTACATAGAATCTTTATTAGGTTCTGGATGCCAAGTGGGGATACAGCCTTAGTGTGTCAGCTGTCTTGTCACCAGACGTAAAGTGCCATGCCATACACAGTGTGCTTGGATTTATCTCTATAAGGTTCTAGTTTTTCACAGTCTAAGACGTAGTGTTGGAGTGTGGCCTTACGTCTGGCCACACACTTTACATTTAATTTTGTTCACATCTGCCTGAGGGGCATACTGCCAGAGGTACTTATATCCTAACCTTAGTCTAGCGGTTACACCATCTTGTAATCTGGTGATCGTGTTACTTGCTCCACATACATGTTTTATATGGCACATCTCATCATGGTAAACAATGGATTGGCTAGTGCCTGTTTGCACTTGTCTACTGGCTTCAAGTTCAACAGAAAGTTCTTCTCTGATTACAGTTTTTAAGGTTCTGTTTGACAATCCTAGATTGTACTCAACATTGTCATTGTTGGACGCGAGTTTAGCTAAGACATCGGCTCTATCATGTTCACTGATGCCTATGTGAGAGGGGATCCACAGCAGCTTGATCCTGATACCCCGTCAACAAGACACATATGCTTGTGTCTGGCTTCAGAGACAAGCGGGTGACAATCTGAGTTTAGGGTATCAAGACCAAGTTGTGAGGATAAGGAGTCAGGGATGATGAGACTGTCAGTGGCAGTGTCTTCATTAAGTTTTAGGGTTGTGAGTAAGGGAAATAGTTCAGTTTTTAGAGACGATGTCCACTTATTAATTCTAGCTCCTTTCTCTATTAAATTATCGTTAGGCTGAGTCACAATGGCAGCACTTCCAGCCCTCCCACAGACAGTGTTAAGAGAGCCGTCAGTGTAGATGGTCTGTGTGATGTTATTTTCAGTCTGCAGGTTATGTATGTGGTCAAGAGCTCTCACTTTGGCAGTGTGTTGGAGATAGGATTATGTGTGGTCAGTCGTTTAGGGGGGTACGTGGGTGTTGTGATATTGAAGGGAACTGTCTGCCAGGGTGGCAGGAAGCGCTGCTGTGTCTCAGCTTTGTACACATGATCTAGTCCAGACATCCTCATATGTGTAGCTGTAGTTTGGATCCATTTAGATTCACCAGTTTCATAACTCATATTCCAGCAGTTTCTATGAAGCAATGTTATAAGAACATAAGAATGGAGAAACTGCAGCGGGCCTATTGGCCCATACTGGGCAGTCCCATTTACACCCAACCCCTATCGCTCATATATCCGTCCAACCTATGTTTGAAGCTATCCAGCGTATTCGAGTTAATGATGATGTTTGGTAACTTGTTCCACTCATCCACTACTCTATTTCCAAACCAACGTTTACCTATCTCGCGCCTAAATCTAAATTTGTCTAATTTAAAACCATGAGGCTATCATGAGGATGACTTCAATATTATTCTCTTTGACACTGGGTACACCTAGTTCTTTCCTCATATAAAGTACTTTAGTGCTCATGGGACAGCCTAAAATAATTCAAAGGGATTTATTTTGCATTTTTTCGAGCTTGTCACTACCTTTCCCGTCAGGAAGGATGAGGGCTGGTGCGCGGTAATCTATCAGAGATCTTGGTACATTATTTTAACAATTCTAATATTAGCGCCATAATATGGGTTGTAACTCGCTACGTATTAAAGGTGGTTTAACCTATTGGCGGGTTAGGTGTTGTATGACAGGTGAGGTACAGGGGCTAGGGACACCGAGATATTTAAAAGGGGAGACAGCCAATAGTGTTGTTACCTATATTAAGCTTTAATGGTCCACGTTTGGGGTTACCAGCTTGGGGAAGGAAGGGGAGGGGGAGGGGGGAGAGTAAAGAGACAACAATGATCTTTTTAGCTGCGGTAGTGAGGAGTGCTTGACGGGGTGGACGAGAGGAAGGGAAAAGTATCCTCCTCTTCGTTATGTCAGTCTGTTAGGTTAGGTTAGGTTAGGTTAGGTTAGTGTAGCTGACACCCACCACAGCCACACCACCTGAGTCACACCCACCACAGCCACACCACCTGAGTCACACCTACCACAGCCACACCACCTGAGTCACACCCACCACAGCCACACCACCTGAGTCACACCCACCACAGCCACACCACCTGAGTCACACCCACCACAGCCACACCACCTGAGTCACACCTACCCTTTCCATCCACCACC